TAGTATACGGACCAACCGCTCAAGGACTCAATCCCCTACGATCTAAAGATGGCACACGACTGCTTAAAGATAATTCTTAACAGAGTATCACAAATTAATAATGACTTCTTCAACGAAATTCTACAGAAACTCATACAACAAGAACTGACCAAGGTTCCCAGATTAGATGAGGTTGAAAAGGCAATTAGACAACTGAAGGACAATACGTCAGCTGGTACTGACGGCATTCCTGCTGAAATATTTATGCAAGGAGGCCTCACACTAAGTGCCCAAACTCACATCCTCATAAGTAAAATATGGATTAATAAGACCACGCCTGCCGAACTTAAAGTTGCCATTTCTGAAAAGGGACACAAGGCTCAATGTGAAAACTTCATAGGAATATCTTCACTTTTTGTTGCGGGAAAGATGCTTGCCAGGATATTATCAAATCGTTTAATCCCAACCGAAAAGAACCTACCAGGGACACAGTGTGACTTTAGACCCAACCGAGGTACACTTGACATTATTTTCAGTGCAAGGCAAATGCAAGAGAAATTCGGAGAACAGAATCGCCATCTATACATGGCCTACATAGATTTGGTGAAAGTATTTTATAAGTTCAACAGAGAAACTCTGGAAGATATTGGCTATAAGGTTAGGTGTCCGCAAAAGTACATCCATATAATCCGCCTGCTGCATGATAACATGAATGCAACCGTCCTAAGCAACGATGGCTAAGGAGAGTCTTTTCAAATAACTACAGACGTTAATGATGTTATGTTATGATGTTATTATCCATACTTCACCTTGTCGACGGTCACCTGCCATGGGGATTGAAGCTCCTGTACAGACTTGATGCCGGCTTATTCAACCTAAGCGTCGTGATGACCAATGCACAGGAAGATCTTCAGGCAATTATCAATGCATTCAACTAGGCATACAGGAGATTCGGCCTAGAGGCCAACTTTAACAAGACGCAGATTCTTGACCAGCCCGTACCGGGCACTAATCCCCAAGCCCCAAAATATAATTAAAAATGACCATTATTTGCTGAACGTAGAAAACTATGCATACCTTGAAAGCCATCTGTCAGCAAATGCAACCATTGGCGCTGAAATCCAACATCTCTTGAAGTGTGTTAGCGCGGCATTTGGGCGACTTCTAGCGCTGAGACTCAACTTCGCGACTTCGCCTCTACAATGCAGCTGTAGTACCAACACTTTCATAATATGGCTGCAAAACATAGACCACCCACAGAAGGCAAAAGAAAAGGCTAGAATACCACCAGCGTTGTCTAAGAAGGATCCTATAGATTAAACGACAAGACCGACGAAGGAACATAAGTATTTTAGAGTAGGCCAAAACAACGAGGGGGGTCTGTTACTCCTAGTGGCGGATAGGGGAATGCCTCCCAGATATGGGTGGTAGTAGGGAAATGAAATACCTCCCGCGGAGCAACAGGAGAGCGGCATCTGACCCAGAATAGGCGGCCGCAAATAGCGTCTATTGCTCATGTTAAAGGCGGCTGAAGTTCCCACTCACCAAAACGTCTTGCCAACATGGTGCTTCATGGCAAAACTCCTCTCAAAATAACAGAAAGACGTAAGAAAGAGCCCTCAGTGTCCAGCAGTTCGGTTAGCTCTAATCAAGGCAACGGACAGACCAGCGACCGAACAGAGGCTGCTAAGAATCCCTGGAATGGACCAGGCTGCCAACTATATATCGGAACATACAACGCAAGGACTTTGAAAAATGAAGAAATGTTAGAGGAACTAAATTACGAACGCGAAAGTATAAACTGGTACATAATAGGCCTGCGGCAGAAGTCAGAAGAAGAGGAGAATGTCTAAGACTTAAATCAAACCACGCCTCATTCTACAAAGGTGATGATGATAGCAGTAATGGAGGAGTTGGAATCCTGATACACAAACGAATGCTCCCATACCTACAAATACTCAAGAGCAAATCTGATATGGTAATATATATTACATTGAAAATCAACAAAAATCAACAATCAAAGTCATCCAAATTTACGCATCAACAACCGACCACGAGGACCAAGAGTTAGAGGAACTTCATGAAGAGGTAATACAGTGTCTGCACGAGAACAAAATAAAGGACACACTAGTTATGGGAGATCTGAATGCAAAAACAGGCCAAGATGATATGGACTTATGTTACATTAGCAAATTCGGACATGGTACAAGAGATGAAAGAGGCAACATGCTTATCAACTTCTTAGAAAAAGAGCAACTCTTTGCGATGAACATATTCTTCAAAAAGAGACCTAACAAAAAATGGACATGGGCAAGCCCAGATAGAAAAGCAAAAAACGAAATAGACTTTATACTGACACATCAAAACACATAATCCAAGATGTACCTACCTAGACGTCCTAGGCTCATGCACGACTGGCAGCAATCCTAGAATGGTAAGATGTAAAACAGCCAAAAATGGCAGACTAGAAAAGCAAGGAAATTCAACCGCTCCCAAAAATAATTCGCAACAAAATTAACACAAAAACTGGAAAAAGACCCCATAGAACCCCACGAAAATGTAAATCAAATTAATAAAATAATAAAGAAAACAATAAAAAAAACTGCAAAAAATATCGATTTTAGGAAAACCTTCTACACTGTCAAATTCTGGGCGATAAAAAGATCTATGAGAAATGCACGAATATATCAGCCAATCATAGTCAAAAATATTCAAGAAGCAACAAAAGCAAACAAAAATTGAGAATGCATGAAGATATAGACGAAGTGAAGATCAAAAGAGACGTAAGACGATGCTATATAAAATCACCTAAGCTGTTCACCCTAATCCTCGAAGCCACTGTTGAAGAAACTACATTGGGAAAATAGAAGATCAATATATCTGGAGAAAACCTCAATAATTTAAGATTCGCTGATAACATCGTAATATTCGCCCTAAAAGAAACAGACTTAGAAGTCATGCTCGAAGAATAAATACTCCAAGAAGCCAAAAAAATCGGATTAGAAATTAACGTATCAAAAACAGAGTTTATGACAAATGCGCAAACAGAGGAAATAACAATTGGCAAAGTCAATCCAGAGCTTGAAATTGACAGGAGAATACGACTAGGATGTGCGGCTCATGGGTAAACTGCGTCATATATTCCGGTCCAAGTTAGCTCTAAAGCTGAAAACTAAAGTCTACAACGGATATATTCTCCCAGTAGTTGCCTATAGAAGCGAAACATGGACGCTCACAGAGAAAATCCTAAGTAAACTGCAAGTACATCTGAGAGCAATCGAAAGGGGGATGATAGGGATTACACTAAGGGATCACAAGACCGACGAGTAAATAAAAAACACAACAAAAGTCGAAGACATTAAACATAAAATATGCACCCTCAAATGAAGCTGGGCCGATCACGTAGCGAGAAACACAAGCAACAACTGGAACGGAAAAGTAACAAGATGGAAACCCTGGGAGGAACGAAGGAGCGTCGGCAGACATCAACAACAGCAGGACTAAACTGGTACCACGTCGCACAGAAAAGAAATACCAGGCAAAATCTGAAAGAGGCCTACATCCAGAGGATAGAGAACGGCTAGGAAGAGGAAGGAAGGAAAACAACTAGCATTATTAAGCACCAACTTCGCTGGACAGGTCACCTCGTCCGCATGCCCAAAACACGTCTTCAATGACAGATTCTCCACATTCAACTGAAAGAGGGAACGAAATCAAGGAGGTCAACAAAAACGATTGTTCTAAAGGAAAATATGGCAAACTGCAGCATCGATACCAGGAACTGGGAGACAACGGCAAATGATAGGCCCTCATGGCGTCGAGTAGTTCACGACGGACCATAAACTTTGGAAGAACAGCGACGCAGATACGAGACCGAAAAGTGGGACCGCAGTAAGGAGCGAGAAAACCGAAGAAGAGACATTACTGCCAGAGGCTGGGTGTATCAAGGCTGGAAGAGTGTGCGGCTCCAGAATTAGTTTATATAGTCATCAGAAAACGCACAATCGACGACAATAAGTATAGAAGATGATTATCTTCTATTCGATATCGAGTGATCGCCTATGATAATGATAATAACATCAAAAATGGATTTGTTTAAAGGCAATTTCTGCAATAAAAATACCTCTACATTCGTTTTTTGCATACCTATTCTATTATTTGTTTTCAAACCAGACATTCTCATTGTTCCTCTATAAATATTGACTTTAAAAAATGTTCAGAGTTTTTGCGTTTGAATTATTCGAGAAATGTTCATTTGAATAAACAGACGGTTTGTCCATTTTAGGACAATAGAATCGGTTTTTAATTTGAATATTCAAATGGGACTTACACGACGACCACTAGCGATTCCACGAATTCAAAAAAAAAATATGAGCAATAGAAAAAATTTCGCTCCAACTGGAAATAGACATTTCATTTAATTACTCAAAGATCCATTGGTTCGGATAATTAATGGTCAAAATTGTATGGGCAAACCGCACAAGATTTATGTTCCATTGAACAGGTTTGATTAATATCTTTTTATTATGAAACTTATTTGACTCCCAGCAAAGAAATTGAATGCTCAAAACACCTAAATTAATTTAACCCTTTCAAGAGGAATCTTTCGTTATCAAAATTAATCAAAAAAAAAGAGGTGGAAAAATATTATTATTTTTATTATTGAATTAATGCCGTACATAACCTATCCAGATTAGCCGATAATCTGGGAACTTGCAGCTTTGAATCAGCTGATCAGAGGCATTAAAAACTATTATACTCATACCTACTTTGTCGGTTTTTTTCATATTTGTCATTTCTATGCCTTGAATCGTGAGCTTAAAATTGCATCGCAAGAAATACGACGAAAGCAAGACGGAGATAAGCAAGAAATACTGAATTGAAAATTTCTTACTTCTTTAGTTTTCATGAATAGTCTGTGCATTTTTGAGACAGTTTATGTTATGCCATTAAAGTGCAGATGAAAATTACTAACAACGGAGGTATTTAAATGATACAATATATTATTTTTCATATTTCAGACGTATTCTAATGGCTGCGAAACGTGCCAACGCAACAAGACACTTTTACTGGGTTGCTAGTGACGGATGGGGCAAGCAACAAAAATTGGTGGAAGGCATCGAAGAAGTCGCAGAAGGTTCCATAACAGTTGAATTGCAGTCAACAAATATACCAGAATTTGACACCTATATGATGACATTAACTCCAGAAGGGAACAAAAGAAATCCATGGTTTGAACAATATTGGGAAGATTTCTTCCAATGTACCCTTCAAAAAAATCTACCCTTGGAAACGAATGTTACGTTTAATGTTTGTAACGAGGATTTGAGATTGGCCCCTGAATACGGGTAAGTACAAAACTATTGCTCATCATGAATATTGTTTTTTTGCTAAAAAATTATGCTGACGCAAAGAAAAACACAAACTTGTTTTACGTCATAAAATTTCCTACATTTCTGGCCATTTGTATTCCTTTGCAAAATAAAAATTTAGCCTTAAAGGCCTTTGAAATTTTTCATTTATGCAGGCGAAGGCTTTGGTTGGGAAATGTACCTAATCACTATGAATGCCGTTCTTCGAACCAAAATAGCGGAAAGGAAAAAAAAAATCTCATATTTTAAACGAAGCCCCTTGGCTTACTTAAAATAATGTTCCTATTTAAAACCGTCTATGAATAATTTGAGGCCAAAGAAACGGGCGGCTTGAATAACAATAGTAGGATGGTAAATTAAGAGCTAGTAAAAGACTCTAGGAGCTAAAAGAGGATTCCGCAAAGGCGCTGAATTAGTTGTGGTGACACTATTTATCGGATTGATTGAACACTGTTTTGTTTAGCTTCCGATGGATTTCTAAATTGGTTTTCAATAAAAATAAACAACTTTCGTGGCCAATTCATCTGGAAATTGACAAATACAAAAACCTAACGCCCCAAGCAATTAGGAAATTAAACGCATTTGGTTCACGTCCCGTCCTTTTCGAATTGATAAACCATTTGTTTTCTGTTGGTTTTTGGAAACGATATTTTTTTTGGAGTGTACTTCCACAATTGATACGGAACGTATTTTCTAGGAATTGAAAAATTATAATTAAAAACAAATAAAGAGCTGTCAGTTTTGTATGGATATGCGCTCTCGAGTTTTAGAGCCGATCGTAAAAAAAAACAAATAAACAAATGTTTGTCACGCTTTTTATTCGGAATGCTTGATTATGCTTAATTACATAAAAGTGAATTGAGTTGGATAGTGAAAAAACAATTGAGTGGAAAAAAATGTAACTCACAGGCGGAGAGACAAGTAGTGTAGTGTGAATAATGCCCCAGTTCAAATTAATTAAGTTAATTATCAAATTCAGAAAGTAGGGCGGGGTGTTTGGGCGCCACTAGCTTTTTGAATAGCAGAATTATCCAGGCTATTGCCTGGGTCTTCCAAAAATCCTTTCTTTGCCAGACAAGTTTCCGTTTTGTTATTTGGTATAATAATTAAATAAGTTTAATTAGTAAATCGATTACTGGGTACCTGAAATAAACCAAGTTATCATTGTCACTCTAATGGTAGTTTCAAAGCCGACTTTGTAATATTAACACGCTTCAATTTTTCCATCATGGAGGCGTATCCGCCTCTATTTGCTTTACAAATTGGAAAATAATAAAGCCATTTGCTGAAAATGCCTCCAGGTATCGAAAGAATATCTCTGTAATATCAATCTTATGAGTATTATTTCTGTCATGGAACCGGATTGAGTCATGCGGCGTGCTCTTAGGAGAAGTTCGGAACTTGAATATTAGGGCAATTTGTATAATTCCTAGATCTAAATTCTGTTATATATTATTCGGCTTTTTTCAGGACAACAATATTTATTCACTTCGGCAAATTGGATTACTTTTCTAAGTGGGTTGTTAGGTAAAAAAATAAATATTTATATTGTGGCAAATATATATATTTTCACGGATTCCGGGTTCACTAAAACTCACTTCACAAACAGTAACAACTTTTTTTTACTACTAACTTAGTAGTAATTATTCAATCTATTTTTCTGGGCAAAAATTTAATTTCTCTCCCTAGGTTAATAATGAAAATAATGAAAAAATACCTAGGTCAATAATGAAAATTACGTCATGACGCAAGGATATTGTCATAATGTAACAGGTTTCTATTGGTTTAATTTCAATTTCAAACTGTCAATTTAAAAAAAAAGCAGGTTCCTGTATGTACATTATAGGAAATTACCAGAAGCTGTTAATAGAGGGCAGCACTTCCGACAAGAAAAAACAATTTCAGCACAGGTTTCAAACCTATTCTATTTTTTATTTTCTACTAGCAGTAGTAAAAAAAAATTCTATATATTCCTCGGTAGAGAAAGTCAATATATACCTTACGCATTATAAACCTTGGCCAACTTCTCTACCTAGGTATATAATGTACTATTAATAAACTAATAGACTTTATAGAAAAACCTGGCAAGATGTACCTTCATCTTACATTTGAAGCCGCGTTGGACACGATACACCACTTTGTTTAATCCCTTTCATACCTAATCGTGTACGGGCCTGCCATACAGGTGAGAGATCTACTTTTCTTCCTTTGAGGGTTATAGAGCCAAACTTTGTCATTCAGGTGGCAGCCTCTAGAGTTCGCCTTAAGGACATATCTGATTTTCATTCGATCACTTGCGAACTCTGTCTTTTCTCTAACTATGTCATGGATATAATAAACTTCTCAACTGCGGGTGCCATCTATCGACAATTTCGAAAATTAGGATCTAGGGTCATTTGCGCATGAATTCAGCGTCCGCGCACCGCGAATTTCTTAATTTTTTGTTGTTACTTTTTGTAAATATCCCAAACAAAGTTACCTAATAAAACTTGTCGTTTTACGCTAAATTACCATGTAATAGTTATTTAACTTTGCTCTCAACATTCGATTAAAATATATTCAAAATATCTTAACTGGTGGTACTATCTATTGACATTGTATAATAATGAAAATAGTAAAAATTCTTCCTTATCACTAACTATTTCCATAACAATTATTCTTCATCACAAAGTTTAGGTAACTTTCAAACAATTCGAAGTCTTTTTTATAGTTCAAAATAAATGTTTTAGGATAAATTACCATGTAAAATGTTTAAATTTCTTAACTGGTGGTGCCATCTATTGACATTGTATGGTAATGAAAGTCTGTATCATAATAAAGTTCATTATGAAACAGATAGGAGTAGAAAAATGATATGATATTGTCACACCCTAAATTATCAGAGTGCAACCAGGACTTTATCTCGCCCTTGTACCTAAAAAGATCTCTAGTTCCTTTAATGTTGAATAAGACACCATGATCAAAACAGGACACAAGTTTATTAATTGGATAAATTAATTAAAACATTTAAGTTATAATTTTATTTAAAAGACATTTCGTAAAACTAAGATGGGATAACAGATTTGTATCTTGATTTCTTGATGATGTATCTTGATATCTATCTTGTAATTGGACACGTCTTCTAAGCTGTTCGAAACTCGTACACTTCTAATAGGAACTCTTTCACGCTGGTCTATTCTGAGACAGTGCTTGCATTGAGCTGGGCATGGTCGTCTGGATAGGGCATCTGCGCTATTATACGGTTTACCAGAAAGGTGTTTAATATGGAAATTGTAGTGCTGTAACTTCTCCAGCCATCTTGTTATTTAAGCGATGCATGTTCTGTTCTGATGAGACATTCTTGTCCATACAGGTGCTTGTGGAAATGGTCAACCGCTCTGACTATTCCTAACAGTTCCCTTCTTGTAACCCAGTAATTTCTCTCGGGCTTGGTCAGCACGAGGTCAGCACTCTCCTGTAGTATTCAATGACCCTTTCTTTTCCATCTTGTATTTGTGACAGGACAGCGTATGTGTCCAAAATAAATTTTCCATGTACCCGTGAGTAGCCTAATATGGAACTGGAACATAGAGCTGCCTTAGGCCTCCGAAAATCCACGTCACAGTCGATGGACCATTCAAACATAGCTTTTTTTTTCGGTAAGTTTATGCAACGGCGTGGCTACCTTAGCAAATCCTTCTACAAATTGTCTGTAGTATGTACAAAGCTCAAGGAAAATTCTTCATATTTGTCCCGAGGTTGAGGCCATACACGAATTGCTCGGATTTTTCTCTCGTCAGTATGAATTTCTTCGGGTGAAACTACGTGGTGTGAGAGTGAATATTTTTTGACATCATTAAGGTAGACAAGGCATACTTTCCACGTAAGTCCTCGTAATACGATTTCCATCAACATCTCAAAAGACCACTTCCAGTGGAGAAGGCTGTTTTCTCTTTGTCTTTTTTGTCAATGCTCATTTCTGACACCAAAGTGTCGAGGATTCCAGGTTCACTATAACTCACTAACACGAACAGTAACAAATTTTATCAAACAATTGACCTTATCACTATTCGAAACGTACACGACAAATATCAAATTAAAACATACCCACGTGTTATTTAATGCAGACAGTGTATTCGACATTTATGTAGAAAAATTCGGCGCCCTACTTGAATAGAATTCTGCAAATTGTTCCGGCCGGGCTCCCGAGGCAATATCGTAACAATATATGTAAAAAAAAAAGAATTTATTCTTTGAAAAAAAGTGATTTATAAATAGATCAATGTGAAAATGGAAAAAGCAAAAGTCACACAAATATCAGCTATTTTTATTAGTATCTTCCTTTTTATTTCTTCCAATATTACTTCTTTGGGTAAACATTGTGGATATTTATTATTGATGAAATCTCCATCATCCAACATCATTTTAGTAAAAAAAGTAGAAATAGTTTGTCAAAATACCTCTCCTTTTTGCTTAAATGTAAAGAGCTTGTTTTTACTTCAGTTACTCCTTACAGAGTATCTCACGTTTCTGCAGTAAATCAGTCGGACTATTTTTGTTCCGCCGACTTAGAGGTTTTTATTAAAATTTCATTCCTCGTCGCGTCATTTAATATTTATCAAAAAGAGACATGATGCTTTATCAAGTTTTCTGGAAAACTATCTGGTTTTCAATTTCAGAGCTGAAGATAATAGTTGGATGCTAAAAAGAAAAAAAACGTCTTGATATTTTGATAGATATGAATTTTTTTAAGACTATCACAGGCGTTTATACAGGTTTAAGCCAAGCTCTAACTTGTAGGTTCTATTGATTGAAACGTATACTAGCGAAATCTATTATTATTATTACAATTAGTATAATTTGTCATTTCGAGAACAATTTAAAAAACTAACCCAAATAACTCCGAGATTCTAATTTTATTATTAATGAGTACCACTAAGTACCTACTTACTTTTATCGTGTGTACCTACCTTCGCCTTCCCTTCAGGGAAATAAACGATTCATTTTGAAGTAACAAAAACTTTGGGTTTTCTTTGAGAAGGTCTGGTCTAATATCTAATATGCATTCCTGCTGAATTCTTCAAATAAGGAGGCCCCATACTATGAGCCCAAACCCACATCCTAAAAAGTGAAATATGGATTACTGAGACCATACCTGACGACCTTAGAGATGCCTACATACTTGCCATTTTTGAAAAAGGAGACAACTTTTTGTTGCGGGAAAGATACTTACCAGGATATTATCAAATTGTCTAGTCCCAACTGCGAATCGTAATTATATTTATCAAGAGATTTCCTGGGGTGAAGAGGCCCTGAGGATATATCGAGATTAACTATGGTAAAGTGACCCTGAGTTGGTTGCTTCAGTCTTTCATATCTATACTATAGTATAAATATTTCAATTTAGTAACCTACTAAAACTGCTGATTGATGATCAAACATATTCTATAAATTTTATTAAAAAATATCAAGAACAAAAAACTTTTTGACTTTCATTTATATAATTTTGTGTTGAAAAAAAAAAACAGCTGTTGGTGAAGGATATCAATTTACCAGGAGAAAAACCGTATTGGATTAATGCGCTACCTACCTGCTTTCTCTTCAAATTCCTATCGATTTTTATTATAATTTCTTTAGGGTATTTCATGGCGGAAGTGTCGAGCTTAATATTTAGATATTTTTTCTGTTCCTCGAAGTGGAGGCTCTAGAATAAGGGACGTCAATTAGGAAGATTAGAGATAAAATATTTGCAGTCTGCATATACAGCTGCACAATAAGCACTGGGCATATTCTGTTAATAGGTATTTATTTTGGAAAGAGAGAAATGTACATTTTAGCTCTCAGCTTAGTTAAAATTAATTAAAATGGGATTTGAGATGACGTTTTGCCATTTAATATGTCTGATTTCAAATTTTAGAAGCTCCTCTAATACTAGGTGCTAAATTCGATTGTTTTTATCAACATCGTCAAAGCATTTAAACAGTAGTTTAAAAGTTTAATTATCCAAGTAGATTTATTTATGTGGACAAAAACTCCGATTCAAGGGCCAAAATAATGAATAAAATTTCTACTGAAACAAGAAATCGAACATCCTATTAGAGATAAGAAAAGGGAGCATTGCCACATTTATGGACCCTTCTCAGCCTAAGGATCAATTTACTCAAAGATTTTTAGCCGAAGATACGCAAAATTTAAAATATTTTTTCCCCTAAGTTATCCAAAAAAAAGTTTTCATGTTTATTTGAATCCCGTTTTTCTAAAAGCGGAATGGGATAATTTTGATAACTTTCTATATTATAAAAAGTTTATTCATAAATAATTACTGGGGTTTTATAATATATTATACCGAAAGTCTACACAGATAATGGCGAAGAGTTTTCTAAATCTCAATCTCACGTACTAAACGTCCCTATTCTGACAACATGGCAATCATCTACACATACATTAATTTGTAACTTCATCAAATTCAAATAACTATTCCAAGCTTTAATCATTTTATATAGGTACCTATTCAATAAAATTGCTCAATTTTTTTTTCAAATGTCTGATGGGTTTTTCTTGAATATAAACCATGTTGCGGACCGGAAATGTAATTTAACGTCTGTCAACACAACCTTATTGTTTAACGGTCTATTACACAACTTAATTAAACCACATTGATGTATCAATTTTAATTAACTCACATACAAACAAAGCGTAAGCGGAGTAAAATAAACAACTTTCTAATATATTGTACAGTGTTTCCGTTGTCGGGACAATTTCTATAACAAACGAGGGCAGTGTCATGTTTCACTCTGTATTGTAATTGTTGTGGTAGGATGTGTAATACACTTTGTAAAGTTGTTGCTACTATTGGAATTATTTATCCGTTTTAATTAATTTTGCACTGGAGAGAAGTTTTCTTTCCTTATGAGGTTGTCTCAACAAGAACTTAAGTTTTGAATTGCGTGTCTTATTTGTTTGTATTCGGATATATTTCGCGTACCTAACGTGTCTTGTGTAAACATTAATAATAATGGAAATTACTCGTTACACTCTGGAACGTCGTTGATTAATTATTCATTATAAAAATAGAGAAAGTTGGGTGACCATTTCGGTACGCAATGCCGTCCTGAGTGGCAGTTGTACTGAACGTACAAGAATCTGCACTCCACTATCTTCATTCATGGAAAATCTGGTTGATTGAAAAACTAAAGCTGAACAGCGCAGAAACTGTGCCAGCTGGATTTTGGCATAGCACGTAATTGCGGATGAATTCCAGAACAAAATAATCCTCAGTGATGAGGCTGATGAGGTCAACAAGCAGAATTCTCGGATCCGATGCCATGCAAGGATCCGATGCATCCTGAAATAATTCCAGTTTAACGCGCCATGTAGGCAGAAGAGATCATCGTATTAGATTTTTTTCTTAAATCATCATCATTATCATCATAGGTGATAACTCGATACCGAGAATGATTATCTCCCATTCTATTCTTAATTTCATCGATTGTGCGTTTTCTGTTGGCTATATAAACCAATTCGAGAGCCGTACACTCTTTCACAGTCTTGGCACACCCAGCCTCTGGTGGTCCGACGCCACGAGGGCCTATCCTTTGCCGTCGTCTATAGTTGCTGGTATCGATGCGGCACTTTGCCATATTTTCCGTTAGAACATCTTTGTAGCGCTTTTGTTGACCTCCTTGATTTCGTTCTCCCTCTTTCAGTTGACTGTAGAGAATCTTTCGAGAAAGACGTATTTCGGGCATGCGGACGAGATGACTTGTCCGGCAAAGTTGGTGCTTAATGATGAGTGCTAGTTGTTTTGGCCTCCTCTAAAATACTACTTAATGTTCGTTCGTCGATCCTGCCATTTAACCCGTAGGATCCTTCTTAGGCAGTGCTAGTGGTATTTTTCTAGGCTTTTCATGTGTCTTCTCTTCTATAGGTGGTCTATGTTTCGCAGCCATATGTAGGTGTTGATATAACAAATGCATTGTAGACGCGAAGTTTTGTCTCAGCGCTGATGTCGTGATTGTTGAAGACTCTCTCTAGAAATCGCCCTAACGCCGCGCTAGCACACTTTAAGCGATGTTGGATTTTAGCGTCAATAGTTGCATTGGTTGACAGATGGCTCGCACGGTATGGGTGGTGTTCTACGTTCTGCAAGGAATGGTCATTTATAGATATATTTGGGGCTTGGGGATTAGTGTCCGGTGCAGAATTGTGGATTGGTTATCCTAAATATTAAAATGTTTACAAGTGGATTGCATGGACGTAAATAAAATTTGGCTTTGATAAGATGGCGCGAAACACTAGCTTTAGAAATCTCCAGGCTATACCCTGGTTCTCCCAGGATTCTAATAAATAAAGCCTATTCATCCTCGGTCTCAGTAAAATAAAATAAAATTCCTTAGCGAAGAATTCTTAATTTCCCAAACAAAACCGAAAAGAAAGAGGTCAAGAATGATAAAAACATAAGCTGAAAAAAAAAAACCAAAGTCCAGTTATGCTCAAGTACTCTGAACTCAGAAAGCTGGTGAAAAAAAAAAGAATTGTGAAATATCACTATCTACCAAGACGAGAACCGTTAATTTAAATTATGTCTAAGTTCTTGTTGAGGCACCCTTTAAGTTGACAACCATTGATGGAATCGATAGTAGCGACGCTCAACTGATTGCATTCTGCATTCTTTTTAAGAACAAATTGTATGCATTACAATAACTCTTCGGGTTATGGGCATATGCCAGTGATTTCCTTAGCAAACCATTCAAAATGAAATTATTCAACGCAAGCGTTTGGAACTCAAACAATTTAAATACGAGCCTAAGCTTTATTGCACAATTCAGTAAATTTAGTAAATAAAGCCACGATGGTAATACTCGGCAAACTTGAACAGCTTTATTGCCATCGAAAGCAATAGCTTTATTATACAAAGTTTAAAACAAAACGTTTTAGCTATCATTGCAGTATAATGCCAATTTAAATAATGTGCTTTTTAAATTCAGGTGTTGATTAATTAAGACTTGTGAGTGGGATTTGAAATTTATCGATTACCTTAGGCCTTATCTTATTTCAGAAATTGTCAAGAAAGCAAGAAAAGTAGATAGGCATTAGAAAAGTGGTTGAATATTCTGGGAGATTTAAGTACTCAATGGTCATGCCTAGTGCATATATGTCCGCGGCTCATTCTAGCCCTTGCTAAAAAACTCAAAGGTCTGTTGCTCATTAATATTGCGCACAGAATCTTGCCGTGTTCAAATAAAATTGAAAATAAAAATGTGTGTATCATACATTCAAAGGTTGACATAGAGACCATTGTATCAAATTTTACAAAGCAAATGAATCCTTATATACAAAATTTATATCTATATTGAAGTAATAAGATTTGTTTTTGTTTCAGATATGAACAGGAAAGTAAAGTGCAGTTTGTTGTTGATGCAGTATATGCATTTGCGCTGGCCCTAGACAGGCTTAACAAGGATATTTGCATAGATTACGATCATCGCGGTGTTTGTCCAGCTATGACTCAATATGATGGAGGAGATTTCTACCAGACATATTTATTAAATCTAAATTTTAATGGTAAGTTACGCTATGTTCACGTCACGAGCTTCATTGTTGATTTTAAACTATTATTGTGAATTATGAAGATGGCCTAAGAGCTATCAGTCCTTGTTTACCAACACAATTTATTTTTATTCTATCGGATTTGTTGCTGTGAAACGCAAATTCCGAAAGCACAATATCGATTCGCATGCCGATATTAGAAAAAAAAACAATGCCTTCATAAAGCGTTTCATTAAAATGGTCTCCGTCGATGCGGAAAAGGCTTTTTATAAACAGTTTTGGATTGCTCTTATGCTGCGCTTACATCACAAATATAACAATTCAGTTCGTTAGTAAAGCTGCATGAGCGACAAAATAATGGGCGGTTATATTTTCTGGCCTAAGCACATTAAACCACGTTCGATCGACTCTCCAATTGTATATTTCTCGTGACGTGAAATGTTTCTTTGGTATAATTTAAAAATTCTTTTATCTTCGAGCGGTCTCTAATTTGAACTTTATTGTCGTCAGCACTTGACACAGACGTGATCCATTATGTACCTCAAACTGAAAAGATTTTTATGTATGTGGTAATTTGTTGGCTTTTGTCTCGCTAGAGGCAGCAGCGTCAATCAGCGCTATTATGTTGATGTAATTAATTTTCCGTTTCTGGTGATGACCAAAGTACACAACACTTATGGTTTTGCTCTATAAGACATTGGAGAAACTGGAATTCTCAATCATTGTGCATTTCAAGTAGATTTTGTCTTTTTCGCTTATTATGAATTTGCTTCTCCACATCGGGATCTTGCTTTGAACTGTATAGGTCACGATAGATGCTTTCTGCATTTCAATTGAATTAATTTGGTAAATTTCTTCCCTTTTATCTTCATTTTTATATAAGCATTAAAAATGAAGATAAAAGGGAAGAAATTAGAGGAATCGCTACCTACAGTAGCGATTCCTGTCAAATGGAGTTCATTAGGCTAACAAAAAGACCTTCTGGGCCGAATGGCATACAACATTTTATCTTCAAACGACTTTCACAACTATAATTAAGGACTTTGTTTTATTTTTGATTATTGTTCGTTAGGCAATCCAAACCACCTGACATTCAAGATGGCGCATGGCGTGGCGGCTACACATGGAACAAAAAACACAAAAAAATATCTAGTTTCTGCCCGACTTACTAGTTTACATACCTAGTGAACAAATATTTTATTGAATAATCAAAATCAAAGCTGCAAGCAAAACTCGAAGCAAAATAATTAAAATATGCATGAAAACACATATTCAAAACACACTTGCTGGCCGCCACGCCATAGTGAATTTTACGTTTTGACAGATGGATTGGATTGCCTAATTTAATAAATGTCAAAATGATGTCACTTCCATTACTCATAGCTAATAGATGGCGCCACGGCCCTGACGTACGTACAGTGTAGGCGTGCGGAGCTGGAGTTAAGTTGGAGTGGTGTTTTTACCACGTGACCAAATTGCTTTTAGAGTACCTAGATTAGTGAAGCCGAACGGCCAGGGTGCATTTGGAGTTTACTAACTTAACCTAACCTAACAACTGACAATTATTATTAAAAATGAACGTCTTTCTATGTCTTTCTACTAAGTTTTCCATTCCTTCTATTATTGGCCAGGCTATTTACAGATGAAATATTTCTTTGTTGACTGTCGATTAGTTGAATAGTCGATTGCGGCAAACAAAAAAATAGGATAGATGACACCAAATCATGAAAATGAACACACTGCGCATGCCCGCTCTGGCGCTTGCTAATGACGAGGTGGTACTTTTAGAGTCAGCTCTTTTGACTCCCGAACACATGTGGAGTTGCTCTTTTAGCTCAAAATGTCAATACACGAACAAGGATAATACACACTAAAGTATTGCTTATCGGCCGTTTTTGGTAATCGCCGCCATATTGGTGTGTCAGCATTTTCCGACGTTATTACTAAATCGTCAGCTGTTTGCACTAGTGGTCGTACTTTAGAATTTAAATTTATGAAGAAAATTATTATTTAATTTTGATTAACATTATAGGCAAAGAGGAAAATGAAAACGAGATCTAAAAAAGAGTTGTTTTGAAATGTTAATTAATGTAGTAAACCAAGTATGCATAAAGCAAAAGCCCACGGAATCATAACGTGTGGTGCAAACAGCCTACGTTAAGGCGAGAAACGACATGCTGCTACGTCACAACTGGTGATTTGGCGTGGTGGGGGGCTTCAGATTTGTTCCACACAGGCCTTATCAAGATAGACTATCCTGTAGAGTGTATTATCCTTGATACACGAACGCATCGGGAGTGTTTAGTGCACTTGAAGTTTATAGAACAGTCATCCCGAATCCATCTTAAATAATAACAGAACTACCTAAAATGAAAGCACAAGCAAAATAAATATGGAAATTTGTGATTTGTGAATGAATCCAACCCCAACAAGAGCAACAAAAATTATTAATTCGAAAATTGCCCCAACTACTCACGACCACAGAGTATGAACCAATTGGATCAACATTGGATAGTTCTTGAACACTTGAATTGTCAAACATCCGGAACAGATTTAAGCTTACTTTTCATGCATCCGTTTTCCAACGAAATATGTCCGAAAAATCTTCTATTTTGACATATTTTTATACGATTATGTCAGAATAGAATGTTTTTCCGGCGAAATATGTCCGAAAAACATTCTATTCTGACATAATCGTATATAAATAAATATGTCAAAATAAATGACTTTTCGGACATATTTCGACGGAAAAACGTATGCATGAAACTCCGGCCTAACCCGTACACCCGTTTTTAGTTCAAAAACATAGTTCTAAATTTAGTCCCACTTCTATTTTTGTAATAATTTAATTTTTAATATTGAACAAAAAATCGAAAACGAACAAATTAGTGCCAGTTATGATTGAAGTATGCTCTTGAGAACTTGGTCGTTGACGCTGCTATCTAGCGAGAAGAAAACGCAAAATTAATTGCAAGAGCATGATAGCGCTGATAGACTAGCGAAAAAAAAAATCAAACTAATTACCCCATACATAAAGATTTTTATGGTCCTAGGAACATAATGGATCACTTCTGTATCGAGTGTTGACGACAATAAAGTTCAAATTATCGACCTCTCTAAAATAAAATATATATTATCCGCCGGAATTGTTAAATATTCATGCATAAGAAAATATTATGTGCCTATTCAAAATATCCTTCAACTGCAAAAACTTTGATCATCGTAACTACTTTTTTATTTTAAGAAGATTCGCTAGGAACATAAAATTTTTAAAGTAAAGTGTTCTTTTGGGAAATACCCAAAGATCTTTCCTTCAAACCCGAATTTACGATAACGTTTTTTTTTTATTTGGAGTATAAACTTATTTTTTCATGACCAAAAGAAAAAAAAAAAGAGGTAATCTGCGATGAGCAAAATTATTTTTGGCTACATTGAATTCAAAAATGTAATCTTGTAACTTTCAGTTACTTAGTAAGTAGGTACCTATAGGTTACTGTTTAATTAAATCGTTACTTTCAATGAAGTTGTTACTTTTGACTGTTTTGAGCCAAGCTCTGCGGAAGCGCTTTCCAAAAATTTACTGAAGGCAGACACAGGTAGAAAAAAAAGATCACAAATGCTTGACCGTTACCACTATAGGCATATAATAAGAGAGAGACTGAATTGTTTACATTTTATCCCGATCAAACATTGTTTTCGCCAGAAATCAATGTTGGCGAATATCTGCGGATCGCCCTAGATCTACCGCCTGTGTTTGAAAATGTAGGGAATGTTGATTTTATTGCATGCAATATTTGTGTCATCTCAATTGAAAATGTTACTACTCATATGAATGTGCGTTTCTCGAAATAAAATCTGTAATTTCTACTTTCAAAATTATTTAGTTTCTGAATAACGTAAATTAATAATGTATTTGGGAAATAGCTATGACAACGCTGTTTACTCCAGTGACACGGAATTTGACACATTCATTCATTTTATGTCAAAAATTGACTATCCAGTACGTTGCTGTGCTGTGTTTGGGAATATTTGCGATTTTCAATCAATTTTCACTGTTTTTCCGTCTTTTATATTTTATTAGCAACTACAATGGTTCGCCAGTGCGTGATCTGTAAAAAAAATTACCTATTCTAACCCTGGATTGGTATTTCGACGGTAGGTACCTGAGGTTATGTTTTTTCCAGCCAAAGCAGTGATGTGGCTGATTGTATATTAAGAGGTCTCAATTTTTCATGATCCAGAAAAACCGCACGCCTCTGATAAAGGCAACCGGGGAAATGGAGGAACAGGTTACAGCGGTGCCATTTTTAAAGCCCATCTTTTTCTAACTTATGCATAACTCTGGCAGTATGTATGATTGTAAACAAATAATGATTTTTGAATGAGATGTTCTGTCTCTTCTTTTTATCTGTCTGTGGTTACCCCCATATTGAATCCTGGCATCTGTAGTTTGGATCAAGGTTGTTTGAAAGAGGGAGGTTGCCTGATAACTTTTATGACGTCATTTGTATGCCTAAACATTATGCAAATCTCCATAAGAACCGTGATGACGTCATCGGTTTGCCATTACCAGACAACCTTTCACAAGCAATTAAAGTTTTACCAATGGTATTGGCAATCTCTCTCTCTCTCTTTACATTTGTTATTTCTATATATCGCGTGTAATTCGAAGTTTTCAACCGAAAAAACTTTTTTAATCATAAAAATCTGTATTAATATATTTTTCTTTTCAGATTTGGTCGGCAGCCCAGTACAATTTGATAAAAGCGGCGATGGCTTAGCCCGGTATGATATTCTTAATTATCAGAGATTGCCCAATTCTTCTGGATATCATTATAAGGTAGGAAAGAGTTTTATTCAGAAGGCAAATGCTTTTTTCTACTGACATTTCATAATACGCTATTAAACGATTAAAATCTGTATCATAATGAACTTCATTATGATACAGATTTTCATTATAATACAGATTTTTAATATTATAGAATGTCGATAGATGGCACCACCAGTTAGGATATTAAACATTTTAAAC